GCGGGGAGGTGGAGCGGCTTGCCCGGCGCGGACGTGTCACAAAGAACCGGGCAGTTAGGGCTTTAGGAAGGGTTTTGTTTACAGCGTGACGGGAGCGCTCGGCGTGTCGCTGGCGCATCTCCCAGCTGCAGCCTCGGACAAGTTAAAGTGCGCTCAGGAGGAAATGTGTTAAGCCGCGTTGATTTTACGGGGTGAAATCTGACAGCGATACCGGGTTTAAAATAGTTATTTGAACGTGTTAGACCCCTTCGAAGAGGAGTATTTTAAAATTATAGCTAAAATTCCATGGTACGGTTTTTTCTAAATAAAAGCTAAGGGTTTGAACCACTGAACATTCTATTAGAGAGAAAAGACTGTGCAGAAGAGTAAACTGAGAAATGGGAATAGAGCTTTCCTTTTCATAACTACAAGCAATAGCTCAAACTCAGCAGTCTTAAACCATTGAGCTGTACGGCATGAATGTGCTAATTAATCAATTACTACCCAACAACGTACCCTGTTTATTTACTGTAGTGTACTACATGTGTGTAGAACCAGTAATTATTAATCATAGTAACAAATTCGACTCAAGTTCACCTTCCTATAATTAATAGAGCATATAGTTAGCTTTAGTATCTTTTTTTTTTTATTAGTGGCAACAATGACAGGATAGAAAATAAGTTGGAATCTGATTCTGTGCCTCACTATAGTGGAGGGCCAAGCTAAGGTATTACACCTTAAGAGTGATACTCAAAATTACCTCCTGTAAAGATACTGCTGATAAAGTGGACATATGACAACTACTTCGATTTTTATAAGTAATTATTTCAAGATATTTTGCTGTTAACTTTGCATTGCTCTTACTAAAAGTGCAAGAAGGGAAAAACCCTTCAGCCTCTGGCAGCATAACCTCACACTGGTTAAGGGAATGTAGATGCACCTCCACTTGCACAACATGCTACAAATGGAATGAAGTAGCATCTGTATTTACCAAAGCGTAGCAAAACATTGTGTGCTTTAAAAATATGCAAGAATCACAACCAAACATCCTAAAGATGAGGCTGGAAGTGTTATGAAGCATTCTTAAAAATGTCTTCTGTTAATACTTGATTGCACAGTTTTGATTCTCTGTTCACTGGATTCTGGTATAGTCTGATCATTTTTGCATCCAGTCTCCTGAAATACACATCTTCGTGATGAAACTGAAAACCGGTCTAACCATTCTTCAGTCAAGATGATATATTTAAATTAATTTGTGATTGTAGTTCCTAATCTTTAGTTCCTGAGTGCTGTAACAAAATCTGTAGTCTAAAATGAGATACAGAGGATCTGTATACCATAAGAGGGAGCAGCTCAGATCTATGACAGGTGATTCGTTAAAAGGGAAGTGATGAAGTGATGTTTGGTAATCACTGTGAAATGCTGAGGACCAGGTTAGTCTTTCAATTCTAGGGATTTATTACCTTAACCTAAAGGGAAGCTGGTAAATTCTTCTGAACTGTCTGTTTGAATGAGGTATCAGATCTTTCAGGAAAGGAGTGGGGTGGATACTTTATTTCAGAAGACATCTGGAAGCTGTTGTGCTGATGAGCTGCTTTTTTGCTCAGTACTCAATTACCATTCTAAAAGTGGAAACCTAGGCTGAATGCCCCCCTTTTTTTTTTTCTTTTTTTTAGGGGTTTAAACCCAGCTACCTAAAAAAGGGAGACACAGTTTCCAGTATCAACTCCAGGTGATGTTCTCTCAGGAGAATGACCTGAAATGGGTAGCCCATGTGTTAGTTTGTCAGTTCTTGCAAAAAACAAAACCCGGGAAGTGCAGCAGCTGAATGCACATCTTCATTTGCGGCTCTGGCCCAGCAGGAGCATGAAATCTTTTTTTAATTGTCTGCATCCTCTGCAGCCGATGCAAACCCCCCGTGCCCCTCATCTCCTTCCACAAGCATTCCTCCACACCTTGTGACTGGGGAAGGAGCTTGGGGTTTTGCTGTCCTTAGCTGCAGAATCCTTTGGCAGTTTGGGCCACCTTTTATCTTTCCCTTCACACTTCCTCTGTCTTCTTCCCAGCCTAGGTCATGTTCTGAAATTCAAGCTACAGTTCAAGAGCTCTATTACTCCTTTAGTGAGCAGCAATAAATAATCCAGTTGTGTGAACAGGAGAATAATAACTATATTTCTGATCTTTTTTTTTTTAATGATTTTATATCTGCTGTACTACTAAAAAAATACATTTTTGGCACCAGCAGCATGGGAGTTGAATGTGAGAGACTGTAAAGCAGTTTCAATCCTTCCATCAGCTCAACGCTCAGAAGTGTTACTACTAATTAAAAACTTTTTTTCCTCAAAATACATTTCACACTTTGCACATACCGAGAAATCTCTCTCACCATGGGAACTTTCAGGTCACTTTCCTGCAAAAACAGGTACAGTTTTCTTTTGTCAGAATAGAACAAAGACACAAGGAAGTGCAGGTTTCATTTACTCCTAGGACACTGCAGTCTATTAAGTGCCAGTGAACTAATGAGCCTCTCAGACCTTATGTTGTTCTGGCTTGGATCAAGGCTTAATTTTCCTTAACCCTTAAGAAACTAGCTGACTCCTAGGGTGGTACTACTATGCTCCCCTATGCCTCCTTCTCCCCCAGGATTGCTTCTACTGACCAAACGGGGACATTATACAGCTTGGGTATGAAGCTAGGTGAGAAATCCAGCATTATAAATATGGTGAGGAAAAAGTCAGAACAACATACTGTTTTGCAGCCCCTCAAAGTAGAACAGAGAAAAAAAAAATCTTGTTGGAAGAACTAATGAGCAGTTATACTGTGCTTATTTGCATATTATTTCTTGGCAAGTGAGAGATTCTTGTTGTACCTACCACAGCCAAAAATAATGCTGTTACTTTCATTGCTAACCATAAAGAATAAGGACTTCCAGGAAGGTCATTCACTGGCTAAATTTTATGTTAGGAAAAAATCTTTGTGGGCTCTGGTATATCCAAAACCAAGACCATACTGAGATTACATGTAAGAAAGGAACAAAACCAAATGAATTAAACAAAAATGTTTTTTTAGGTTTTTATTTGAAATGGAGATTAACATTTATGCAAACATTCTCACTTGCAATTAATTACTTCTGTGACCAAAGTAGAAGAGAAAAAGGTTAATACAAAAATTAATATATGAAGCTATAATGGATCAAAGGAATTGGGTGGGCATTGATCTGCTACAACTGCTTGGTCACATTCATTATTCGTCTTAAAAACTGGGAACTTTTGGGGAAGTAATCTCTTAGATACTTGCCATGCTTGGGACAAAAGTAGTGGAGAAGATGCACTCTTCTTTAGTAAAATTTAGAATGTGTTGTCTGTTGGGATATTAGAGATTTGATTGATAAAGATAATTTTACAAATGGAACTGTCGTCCTTCAAGATAACAGTGCACAGTAATTGTGACCAAAAAAGTCCCAGTACCTGAAATACAGAATCTATCTGACGGACAGATCGATCTGCAAAAGTCACGGGATACGGGGAATCATAGTACAAGTATAATTCTTATGGTCCTTTCAGAATCTGTTGTTCAGCTAGTGCTATTTCTCTTATTTTTGATAATTTGAAAATTAAACCAACTGCTGCAAAAATCTGTAGATAACAAGAGAAATAGTGGAATGATAACAACACAGACAACCAGTTCTGAAGAGGAGTCGGGGTTGCTAGCCTTACTGATAAGATGGCGTTTCAGTGTATTTATTTACACACTTTCATGTCAGAAACCTGTATTTTGGAAGACAATAGGTTTGAAAGGGAATTTAGGGTTATGGGACTCTTTTCAAAGAAGTTTGATCTCCTAGCCTGATTTAGTGAAAAAGAGAGCGTGACCCCATTGGTAAGATTCTTTTAAACCGATACTGTACTCAGGAACAACAGTATGAACATCAGGGGCATTTATCATGATCCTCTGCTTTTCAACAGTTTACTTTCGTGAAAAAAGTGATATTCTTCTAAACACCGCACTCAGAAATCATGGAAATGTGCTGTTTTGGTTAATATTACTTCACATGCCAATGCAGAAGGGAAACCAAACCTGTTCTTACAGATGAGAAAGCATTTCCAGAAGCATAAAGAATAAGGCACTTAAACATTTTCCGTTAACTATTCTTTCAGAGCATCTGCTTTCGAAGGTTGCTC